TTTTTGTACAGGGTTGACAGCACATCCATACAACATATAATCTCTAACAGTGATGTCATCAGCCCAGGAACTCCGGTTGTCTACCAGCTTAGAACAAGAAAAGAGACTGTTGAGACCCTGACCAGAGTGACCTTTGGTAAGAAAAAACAGAGCAAGCCAAACAAAACCATCCTGCTTGTTGGAGAAACAGGAGCAGGGAAATCTACTCTGATCAATGCTCTGGTCAACTACGCCATGGGGGTGACATTTGAGGACAAAGCCTGGTTTCAGATCGTAGAAGATGAGAATAGAAGTCAGACAGAAAGCCAGACATCGGATGTGATCGTCTATCAGATCTTTGGTTTTGAAGGTAAAACTCTGCCGTTCTCTCTGACCATCATCGATACGCCTGGATATGGAGACACCAGAGGGATTGAACGTGATGTCATTGTCAGTGAAAGATTATTTGAATTGTTTCGATCAGAACATGGCATACAAGAACTTCATGCGGTGGGTCTGGTGGTGAAGTCGAGCGTGAATCGTCTGAGTGACCGACTGAAGTACATCTTTGATTCAGGGATGTCTCTATTTGGAAAAGACATCGAGAAAAACATTGTAGCTCTGGTCACTCACTCCAATGGAAGAAAACCAAATGACTTGCTTGGGGCTCTCAATGCTGCCAAGATTAAATGTGCCAAAGATGAGAAGGAAAAACCTGTTTACTTCCTTTTCAATAACTGCCAACACGAAGAACGAATAGAGGAAGAGCATCATAAAAATGCTGATACAATAACAATGAGAGGACTGAATGGCTTTACTGCCTTTCTGGAAAAAACTGCACCTCGAAAACTAGACATGACCTTGGATGTTCTCAATGAACGGATCAGACTGTCTGCCTGCATCCAAAACCTGCAGGAAAGAATCCGTCTGTCTGAGCTGAAAGAGGCAGAAATTACACAGATTAAAGAAGCTCTGAAGAACCACGAAGAAAAGAAGGAGAAGAACGAGAAGTTTGCTGTAGAAGTTCATGAAGCATACAAAGAAAAAGAAGCCATTGGAGGAGAGATGTGGTTGATGACTCTGATTAAAGGAGCAGTCTGCTGCACTGTCTGTGAGGAAAACTGTCACTATTCTGGGTGTACTAAACTCCCCAAAGACTGCGAGGTGATGAAAGATGGCCGCTGCACTGTTTGCTCTTCAAAATGTCCCGTATCTGTTCATGTGAAAGGAAAGTGGAGATATGTGACAAGAACAAGGAAAGTTCAGAGGAATATGGAAGACATAAGGAAAAGATCAAAAATACAAAGACGTTTGAGCTTTTTAGAAAGTTTTAAGGGTGAGATCACAAATCTGAAAGCAGAGAAATCTAATTTGCTTGAAGAGTGCTTCCAACATGTTGTCAATCTGGAGCAGATTGCTCTTAAAGTTAATTCTGTGTCCACATTTGTCCACTTGGACTTCTTGATTGATAAGATGAAAGAAAATGGAGAAACAAAGAAGGCCCAAAAGCTAGAGGAAATAAAGAAAAAGGGAGATGAAGGAA